TTTCCCAGCACCATTTGTTGAAGAGGCTATCTTTTCTCCAGTGCATGTTTTTGGCACCTTTGTCTAATACAAGATAATTGTAATTTTGTGGGTTAGTCTCTGTGTCCTCTATTCTGTACCATTGGTCTACCAATCTGTTTTGGTGCCAATACCATGCTGTTTTTGTTACTATTGCTCTGTAGTATAGTTTAAGGTCTGGCATAGGGATGCCGTCTTCTTCACTCTTCCTTCTAAGGATTACTTTATCTGTTCTGGGTCTCTTATTTTTCCAGATGAATTTCATGATTTCTTTTTATTTCTATAAGGAATGTCATTGGGATTTTGATCAGAATTGCATTAAATCTGTATAGTGCTTTTGGAAGTATGGTCCTTTTGATAATATATCCAAGAACAAGGTAGATCTTTCCATCTTCTAAAGTCTTCTTTGACTTCTTTCTTTAGGGTTCTGTAATTTTCATTGTATAGATCTTTCGCTCTTTCATGAAGTTGATTCCCAAGTTTTTTTTGTTTTTTTTTTTTTGAGGCTATTGTAAATGGGGTAGTTTTCCTCATTTCCCTTTCAGAGGATTTGTCTCTAATATACAGAAATGCCTTTGATTTATGAGTGTTGATTTTGTATCCTGCTACTTTGCTGAATTCATTTAATAGTTCTAGAAGTTTTCTGGTGGAACTTTTAGGGTCTTCTAGATATAGAATCATATCATCAGCAAATAGTGCCAATTTGAGTTCTTTTTTTCCAATGTGTATCCCTTTAATTTCTTTCTTCTCTCTAATTGCTCTGGCTAGTGTTACAAGAAGTATGTTAAATAGAAGTCCTGAAAGAGGGTATCCCTGTCTTGTTCCAGGTTTTTAAGAGGAAATGCCTTCAATTTTTCTCCATTTAGAATGATGTTGTCCTGGGACTTAGCATAGATAGCCTTTATGATGTTGAAATATGTTCCTGTTATCCCTAATTTTTCTAATGTTTTGAACATAAAGGGGTGCTGTATTTTGTCAAATGTTTTCTCTGTGTCTATTTAGTTGATCATATGATTCTTATCTTTAAGTCTGTTGATGTGATGAATTACATTTATTGATTTCCGTATGTTGAACCAACTTTGCATCCCTGGGATGAATCCCACTTGATCAATGGTGTATGATCTTTTTGATATGTTTTTGTATTCAATTTTCCAGAATCTTATTGAGAATTTTTGCATCTATGTTCATCAGAGATATTGGTCTGAAGTTTTCTTTTTTTGTTTTGTTTTTTTGAGGATGGAAACCCCTGCTTGCTTCCGTGGTTCATGTGAGTGGTATGATTTTTCCCAACCCTTCACCTTYRGTCTGTGGATGTMTTTTTCTATGAGATGAGTCTCTTGGAGACAGCATATTGTTGGCTCTTTTTTTRATCCAATCTGCTAGTCTATGTCTTTTGATTGGTGAGTTTAAGCCATTAACATTCAGGGTTATTATTGAGMCGTGATTTGTATTCTTAGCCATTTTCGTTTATTTTTGGTATTTAATATGTCTTAGTTTCTCCTCTGATTAGTTTTTTCTGATGTTTCTATAGTGTAATCACTCCCTCTGTTGATTTTCATCATTGTTTTTCATTTCCTCTTCTTGGAATATTTTGCTGAGGATGTTCTGTAGTGCAGGCTTTCTAGTTGTAATTTTTTTAACTTCTGTTTATCATGAAAGGTTTTTATTTCATCATCAGATCTAAAGCTTAATTTTTCTGGATATAAGATTCTTGGTTGGCATCTATTTTCTTTCAGAGCTTTTTAAATGAACTCCTTCTCTAACATTTCATCAACTTCGCTGTTCATGGGTTCTGTAATTATAGTGTCCTGGCATCCTGGATCTGGGTCCTGCCCAAGTTGGAGTGGATGGATCTGGGTCGCTGGGCTTGACCTTCCTAGGTAGTCTATTGGTCCAAAGTGAGGATGGAAACCCCTGCTTGCTTCCGTGGTTCATGTGAGTGGTATGATTTTTCCCAACCCTTCACCTTTGGTCTGTGGATGTATTTTTCTATGAGATGAGTCTCTTGGAGACAGCATATTGTTGGCTCTTTTTTTAATCCAATCTGCTAGTCTATGTCTTTTGATTGGTGAGYCCTGCACCAGAGGCTAGGCTCTGGAGGGTGTCTGCCCTGCCGGGGGATGGGTGGACCGTGCCTGCTGTACCTGGGACCCACATAGGCCAATGTGGGTGGATCTAGGCTGCTGGGCTTGACCTCGACAGGTCAGCAGTTTTTACATATAAAGATAATGATGAATTTGCAAAACTTTTTCATAAAATGAAATTGAAGGTTATCTACCTGATAGGCCTATTTTGACCATGTAGAAGAAAATAGCAAGTGTCCATGATCTGTGGCTCTACCTTCAGAAATTCTATCAAGAGAAAACCTGCACATACCAGCAGGGGCCACAGCAGCTGCAGGGTGGAAAGGAGAAAATGGATCAGTGCTGTTAATGAACTGGGGTCTCATTTTCATTAAAAAAAAAAAAGGAAAATCCTTTCTGCAATCAAGTTTTCATGCTTTTCTTCTAAATGAAACCCTTATCCTATATTATCTTTGAAAATCTAATGATAACAGTGCTTGAGAAAATGAACACAGATTTGCTAATTATTTTCTATCCTAATACTTTCCAGATATATTTTCAGCCTATTATGTTTTTGATTAATAAAATTATAGTTGGAATGCAGGCCGGGGATAATTTGATGTTCAAACTAATACCAACATTTTTTTTTTYCCCATGGAGGCAGTACTGATCATGTGAGGTGTGCTGTTCTGAAATCTGCTGGGTTCCCACCCTGGCTCTACACTGACAAGATGTGCAGTCCTAAGAAAGTCCTAACCTCTCTGAACATCAGTTTCTTATTTTATAACAGATTATATGGATAAAATAGTTGTTGGAAAATCTATGAAAAGGACATAGCTAGATGCCAGGCATGTACTACTTGCTCAGAATTATAAGCCATTCGTATCATAAATAATCTTAAATGTCAAGGATAATGTATGGTGTTAAGGGAAATTTTAAATATCATTCTAAAAGTAAAATAGGTAAATTTTAAGCATTATATAACAGATTTATCACTGTTAAGATTAGCCTTTCGGTGGGGGCTGTGGTTGTGGCTCAGTGGTAGAAAGCATGGGTGAGGCACTGGGTTCCAACCTCCACACCATATAAAAATGAAATAAYGATATTGTGTCCACCTACAACTAAAAAACCTCAAATATTAAAAAAAATCAGCCTTTCTGTAAAATCAGTTTTATAGCATAGTGATGTCAGGGATTCTTTAGCCCTTTGAAGTTTTTCTCTTATACTAATAGCTCTAGGCTGCTGTGGCTTTTGTTGCTTTTTATGTTCCTTAGCAGTGTTACCCATCATTTTTAGTGACAATAAGATTCCTGTAAATGGCCACTGTGCTGCATTATAACGTATTACTTTTAACATAGTTGTAGATGGTGGGGGGGGGGAGTAAGCACTGATTTGTTTATTATTCAGTAACAATGTACCAGGGAAGTCTCACCCTGTGCTAGGTTCTGATATAAGGGCCAAGATTCAAAATATCAAGGATGGGTCTGGGACTGTGGCTCAGTGGCAGAGTACTTGCCTACCA